CATGTCTAGTTTACACAAATACACTTGCCAATGATAATAAATATAAAATGTACTAAAATACATGATAAATGGATAAATGATTGCATTTGACCTGATTATTTATAGGAAAACTTTGCTCTATTATATTAAAAGACTATTTTCTTTTGACTAATTTGAATTATCAAGGCAGATGAACTGATGAAGTATAAAGATCTTGTGTCCTGAACTCCAAAGGAGGGTTAACTGAAGGGTAAATAAATGGTTTCCCTTCTTACATGCTCTTCACTGCTGCTTAAGCCAATCCTACCACATTGACCCTGTTTGGAATTTATATGAAGAAATATGTATGAACAATCTTTGAACAAAGAATATCATTGGAGTATTACCATCTTGGTAATTGATTCTGGATATGTGTACATAATCACACCTCCTTCCTATATCCTCTCAAAGACAAAATCCAAAGTGCTTTTAGAAAATAACAAATTCTCTTGGCTTATTGTGTCTCCTAATAGCTTGGGTTATCATAGTGGAAAGAATGAAGCCATAAAATATTTCAACAGTTATTCAAGAAAGTACCTCGTGCCTGGTTAAAAATAGATTACCTGCTTAACATTGTATGTCTTTACAAAGGAATTTACCTTTGTTAATTCATTGTCAAAAAAAAAATACCTAAAGGAAAAAAACCCAGAATATTAGCTGTTTGTTGTATACCAAATATCAATAGATCATCCAGTTGATTGGTGCAGAATTACAAAAAACTGAGTCTTGGGAAGCACAGACATTTCAGAGATAGTAAAGCCCATAAGCACACAACTAGTGAAAACTCTAAAATTTCTAAATAAATAAAAAAATGGTATCAATTGAAAATGGCGATTGATATAAATTTCAATAAAATGGAATTAATTATTATTATAATTTCTGGTGGTAGGCTTTGAGCAGAAATTCAAATCCATAGCAAAAACTATTTTTTTTAGTGTCCTGAAAAAGAATTAGACACACAAAAATAAAATAATAATTTGTGTGAGTAAAACGTAGAGATGCTGCTGGCTCAGGATGATTGTTCAAGAAATTTTAATAAGCTGGGCCTTTGTTAATTATATTACAGAGATGAATGGACATTGCAATTTTCTGTGCCACATTCTTTCCTAGGTGGAGGGACAGCTGAAATAAGGAAGAAGAAAAAATTGTTTTGATACAAGTTCTAGGCACAACTCATTGATTAAAAATGAATGACGTTGGCTGCGGAAAGACAGGAGAGGGGTATAGATTTTATTTTGTGCCGAGAGTCAGTCAAAGTTGGCTTGCTTCAAATGCTACTTCTTGAAATAATGCATGCTTATAGAAGTTAAAATGAATATGTAGTGTAATATAGGAATTTGTATGCATCACTGTCTCCTCTCATTATTGAATTGTCTCAGGAGAGTTCTGACAGGCCAAACAAAACAAGTTCCCTTAATATGTCTGAAGCTTTACCTTGTGGTTGAGAAACAACAAACTAATTAAATTAGTTACAGAATTAGCCAATGGCATGACACTTGTGGTGGATCCCACCCACACTGAGGGCATATAAAAGGGCCTCTGCAGGGAGAACTGTCCAGACTGAAGTCACCTACACTCCTTCTCCACCCAAGGACAACCTCAACAACCAGCACCATGTGTGGCAGCTATTACGGAAACTACTATGGCGGCCGTGGCTATGGCTGCTGTGGCTATGGGGGCCTGGGCTATGGCTATGGAGGCCTGGGCTGTGGCTATGGCTCCTGCTATGGCTGTGGCTTCCGCAGACTGGGCTGTGGCTATGGCAGTGGCTATGGCTATGGCTCCCGCTCTCTCTGTGGCTGCGGCTATGGCTGCGGCTCAGGCTACGGCTCTGGCTTTGGCTACTACTATTGAGGACGCCACGGGAGACTCATCTTTAACACATGAAACATCATGATTCATCAGCCCTGAATCCTCTGCCCTTGTGCCACCACATTAGTATGGGATAATCCTACACCAGCGTTTTCTGATGTGATTTGCTGACGACCTGTCATGCGGTGACCACTGTCTGGATCTGCCACTTCCAGACACTTATTCTCATTCTATCCCTCATGACACGTGAGTGAATGTGATATTCACCCTGTGAACCCACTTGTCTCCTTTCACCACAATGAAGCACTCACTGGTCCTACCTTGATGAATTTTATACATCATTTTGTTTCTCAGTGTTTCTAATAAACTTGGTTTACCTGGAATAAAAAAGCTTGGTTTTAATTCTATTTATTACATGTAATAGAGTTTATTTTATCTTTTTGGACTTTTTAATTTGCTCGTTTCTAGGAAAGGTTGCAACTGCAATTCTTGACACATATTATCTTAAAATTTCTACTTTAGTTGCTCTACCAGTTCTAGAATTGCCACCTTCAGAAAACATTTTAATATTTGTAAATTTTCTTCTTTTAAAATAGGGGGTTATACCTCTATTGCTGGAAGTTTTCGGGATTAAATTAGAGAGTTTAACTGATGCTTAGCAATTAGTAAATATTCTGCATGATTTTTTTATCACACAAACCAATAGTTGCCAAGTTCCATGCCTCCCCAAATCCTTTTAAAAGTGTTATTTTAAAAATTATGGACAGAAAAATCCATTTGGTATACAGTTCTGG